GAGATGGTTTCACAGGTGAAGCCTATCAAACTTTTAAAGATTGGTAAAATCTTTAAATTCTTGCTTAAATTCTTTCCCACAAAAATAGAAAAGGGGAACACTTCTGAACTCACTAGTTGAGGCCAACATTGCTCTCCATCTTGGAGAGATCAGTGCTTGGGATAGAAAGCCCAGAAATAAACTCTTGATTATTTGGCAAAATGATCTTTGACCAGGGTACCATGGATGACAATGGGAACATGATAGTGTCTTCAAAGAGGGCACTGGGGAACTATACTCACCTGCAAAGACTTGGAACCTTATCTTTCACTATGCACAAAATCAACTCAAAGTGAATTAAAGACAAACAAAAAAACTTTGAGCATCAAAATTTCTGGAAGAAGTCAGGAGAAAAATTTTTGACATTGGCTTTGACAATGATCTTGAATTTGATACTTTAAAGGCATAAGGCAACAAATGCCAAAGTAAATAAGTGGGACTACTTCAAACTAAAAAGCTTCTGCACTGCAAAGGAAAAAATAAAATAAAAAAGCAGCCTATTGAAGGGGAGAAAGTATTTGCAAATCATGTATTTGCTAAGGGGTCAATATACAAAATATATAGGAAGTTCCTAAAACTCAGTTGTAAAAAACCCACATAACCAAATTAAAAATGGGCCAAGCCTCAGTATAGACATTCATTCAAAGAAGATATTTAAATAGCCAACAAGTATATGAAAAGGTACTCAATATAAGAAATCATCAGGGAAATGCAAATCAAAATCACACTGAGATACAGCTAATTGCTTATGATGACTATTATATGAAAAATCAAAATTATCCCATTGGTGAGGATGCAGGGAAAAGAGAACTCTTTTACAATGTTGATGGAACATAATTGATACAGTTGTTACAGAAAACAGTATGGAATTTCCTCAAAAAATTAAAAATAGAACTATAACATTGGTCCATGGTCATTTCCTGAGAAAATATCCAAAGGAAATGGAATTCATGGATGAATGTAGAGGACATTAAACTACCTGAAAAAAGGCAGAAGAAAAAAATAATACCACATTATCTCATTGACATGAGGAATCTAAAAGTCAAACTTATAGAAGCAGAGGGTAGGATGATGGTTATCAGGGTGAACAGGTAAGGTGTTGCTAAAGTTTCTGCTCTGCAAGGGGAGTAAGTCTCAGAGCTCTACCATACAGCATATTCCTGTAGTTTAACCACACGGTCTTATATACTGAAAAATTTGCCAGAGGGCAGATCGTGTGTAGATATTCTTGTCACACCCCTCCCCCAACACACACATCAAAAAGTAGATGGTGTAGGAAACTTGTGAAGACAATAAATATGTTTCTATTGTTGATTGTGGTCTTAGTTTCATGAGTATATACTGAATACTTGTCTCCAAACTCATTTAATGGCATGCATTAAATATGCACAGCTTTATGTATGTCAAGCATACCTCAATAAAGTATTTGTTTTAATTAAAAAATAACTTTCATCCATAAAGAGTCAGAGAATTCTTCCCCTGGGAAAAGCATTGTTTCTCCTAAGGGGTAAAAGAATGTTATTAGAAACTTTGAGCACAGAAAGATAGGAAATAATGTGGGGAGGTGACATAGAGTAACTCTTGTCTTCTTTTTTTGTGGTGCAGGAGGTCTTTGTGAAGATCCTGTCAGTCAGGAGAATATGAGTTAATAATAACAAGTACCACAACGGAAACATAGTGGTCAACATTTTGGACACCTACGTGCTGAGAAAACCTATGGTGTGGGCTTCAGGTACTTCGCCAAAATTATCACAAAACTCCATCACATGTTATTTATTTATTAAGAATATATTCTGAACATTTTCTAAGTCTATGGATACAGAGATAAACAAAATAGCCATGATCCCTGCTCCTGCAGGGCTTATGAGAAAATAGGAGAAATAGGCATTATACAAAAACAAATAAATACTTAATGTCACATGGAAACTCAACTGACTCCTTCAGCTTAAGTGGTCTGGAAAGGTCACTCTTAGAAGGTGACATCTGAAACCTGGGTCTTAAAGGAGGATCCAGGCAGGCAGCAGAAACTATATCAATAACAGAACATTTTCCTTTATTAGAGGAGATGACAGAAGATTAGGGAAAAAGAGATAGTGGGGAACAGTTATGCCAGTTGGGATTGAAGATGGGCCAGCCCATCCAGGCCATGGAGATGCAGCTTCCTTCTGAGTGCTTGGGGAGCTTGCATGGGTTTAAACAGATAAGAGAAGGATCAGATTTATATTGAAGATTCACTCTGGCTATGTTGTATAAAGTAGATGGACAGTGACAAGGGCAAAAGTGGGGAGAGCTATTCAGAGTTTATTGCCATGTTCCTGTGGAGAGGTGATGATGGCTGGGTAGAAGAGGGTGGTTGAAGACTTGGAAAAAAGTTGATTAAGTCCAGGATAGATACTTGGAGGTAGATCTGGTGATAGACAAGCTGGAGTCAGAGAACACCCAAGTTCCCAGATTGAGTAACAGGGAGTAGATGGGGAGGGGGTGACAAGAGCAAAAGTTGGGGAGAGCTATTCAGAGTTTATTGCCATGTTCTTATGGAGAGATGATGATTGGCTGGGTAGAAGAGGGCGGTTGAAGACTTGGAAAAAAGTCAATAAGTCTAGGATATATACTTGGAGGTAGATCTGGTGATAGAGAAACTGGAGTCAGAGAACATCCAAATTCCCAGATTGAGTAACAGGGAGGCTATATTACCATTACCTAGGAGTCTAGGAGACTAAAAAAGTTAGTCTCAGCTCGAAGAAGTTAGGCATCTAGGAGGTATGTCTAGTAAATTATGTATGAGGATATGGACCTGTCCTGGGTCATCAGACTCCTGAGATAACACACGGTCTCACCAACACATTGTCTCCTCACCAGTGGTCACAACCTGTGCTTTCCCAAAGGAGAGGTGCCATGGAATCATCATCTCTGTCAACTGTAACTCCACTTGCTAAGTTTCCACAAAGAAAGTCAATCTCCAAGTGTATTATCTGAAGCATGTTTGGGACTGCAGGAGATTAGAATATGTTGATGACATGTTGGAAACAGTTGTTTCTTAGATTTTGACCTAGGTAAACATGTTCGAGTCTGGAGGACTGGAAGCAGTGATCCTGGATATTAAAATCTTGTTGCTTGGCAGAGATCAAGCTCTGTTCTCTCTCATGACATCAAGGGAAGATGTATCATTTCTGATTTCCTTTCAGGCCCTTCTGCAATGTACTTGATGGTGTCAAGAAGTAGGATGACTCTAATGGGGAGAAGAGGAAAATGAAGTCAGTTAGTAGGAATCAGCGCCACAGGCCACACTTCCTGGCTACAGAGGAGGTCTGAAGAGCTCTGACAGGCAGATAGGGCTCAAACGGCAGAAGGCGGGATTATATTACAAAAGTTAAGTATGTTGAAAATTCAATTATACATGGAGATTCTAAGACAGGATAACTTCTTGGTTATATTTTAGTGATGTTTTGAGACATTTTGTAGCCTGGTGGGTATTTGTGCATCTGTTAAAAAACAAAACGTTCTTTACTTTTACTTTATTTGCAAAGTCATAGGTCTGAAGAGAAGGGTAAGACTTTAAGAGCATGGGGCAATTATGAGCTTACCTGTTTGGACTGATTAACTTCAGAGTAAATCGTAATGAAATCATTGTTTTTCATAGGTATCTGGGTTTCTGTGTTCTGTAAAAAATAGTTATACCCATTTGGCTCAGATAGGCAAAGGTAGTCATGCATTTATACACTCCTAAGAGGCAGTGCAACAAGAGAATGATATTCTGTTCTTCAGGAGGAAGTCTGGGGATGTTAAGCAGGGTCCAAACTGCTAACCATTTAGCATCATTTCCTGAGCCCCAAACAGAAGCACAACCTCTCCTCCCCCTATAAACCAGTAGACTCAAGAGCTAGACTGCTTTACTGGCAGATGGTGTAAAAAAAAGGCATTCTCGTGCTGTGATCAACTCTTTTTTCCTTCCTCCATTTTTTTTATTACAAAGTTTATTTTTACATCATTTTGCACATTTTTTTTCCATCTCGATCCTTCCTCCATTTTTAAGAATCAACTTTTATACCAATGGCTATTGTATTCTATCTTTTGTCTCAACCAACTTCCCTGGACATTAGTCTCTTGGTTTGGTAAGGGTGATTCATTTTGCTTCCAAAAGGCAATTGGAAATGCAATATAAACAGTTGAGCAAGTAAGAGCACCCCTTCTTTTTCTGTCTTTGGGGAACCTCCTTTTTGGATATCTGGGAGGGGCTGTGTGAAGGGAGGTTTGCTTAGGGAATTCAAGTTTTCTGGTTAGGATGTTGCTTCTCTCATTGGAGAAGAACCACTAGACAGCTCGTGTTTCAGAAGACATGGAAACGGACCTCCCAGGATGTGTAGTGTTATTTAAAACCTGCCACCTGCAGATGCTTTATTTGGGGTAATAGGGGAATTGTTGATGCATGACCAAAGAGTCCTTGATGCTTGTCAAAGGCCACCTTGTCACATTTCAAGAGGGAAGGGGAGGCTGTTTGTGCTTGAGTCCTCCATTGTAGAGTTGCAAATTCTTGTCCTTTGCCACTACTAAGGGATTGCTTCTGACCTCCCCATATCTTCTACACCCAGGGTGAGAACCCCTCACCACCTTACAGAATTGTCTCCTTTGGAAACTCTCAAACTTTGTTGAGCATCATGCTAAGATATAGGGGAAGAGAAGAAGACAGGACCTTCATTTATAGGCACTTGTGATGAAACTGAAGAGGCAAGACTCAAAAAAGCATGGAGTGCTTAGACAGCAAGGCAAGTCAAGGTGTGAGTAAACCATCTACTGGGTCCCAGTGGCAGGGCTAAAAGGGTTGCCCAGAGTTTGCCATCCTCTCTTGCCACCTTTTCTCACTTCAATGGTGTCTGTTGTTTGGGTAAGTCAGCAGACTGTAGTAACAAGTTTGTGCCTAGTGACTAAGAATAATAGTGGCGTATTTAGCTGGAAAAACTCACCCGGTTTGAATGAATGACTGTGGTATACACGGTGTTCCCCTGAGGGAATGATACATAATCTGTGTTCCTCCAGGTCTCTGTTGTGGACACAGAAAGACGGTCAGTGCGGGGACTGTCTCCCAGGACGCTGCCCACCCCAGAACACTTTCTAACCTCATAGAGGGAGTAGTGGAAGTCACTGCCTTTCCTTTGACAGCCTATGAAGTCCTGGTTTGAACCAAACTTTCTCAACCACGTGATGGAGTTTGGACTCAGCTTGTGGCAACATGGTTTATAGTACCTGACACCTCAAGTCTACTTCTTGACTCACGTGTGGGCCAGGAAGCCCTACTCCTCACACAACACAAGCACAGGAGAAACTAATTAAGAGTGTCATGGAGCCAGTCACATGGACAATGCGATTAGGCTTTCCTGAGGTCCTAAGGTGAGTTTGACAAGGAACTGGAGATTCAGAAAATTTGACCAACATGGCACCTACACTTGCTTATCCATCAGTGGGATGAGGAGGACTCTAACTCAATCCAAGAAGCTCACGTGCTTGTGAAGGACCCTGTATGTCCCACAGGGACAGATGTGTTTGGTCACAGCTCGTCTCCCCCAGCACTGTCTACTCCATTGTGCGGTGATATTCCCTCTCCTCATGATCCTGCCCTCAATCACCCCTTTTTTCATCCATTTGACTTTTCCCACCCATTAACTATGGGGAGGCTCACCAGGATGCTGGGCTTGCTGAGTAGAATGCCGAAGAAACTCTGAAAAATAAAGTCAGAGACACTGAAATTTGTGGCTGTGGTGGGAGAAGAATCTGCACCCCTGCAGGTGTCTCTAGAGGATGAGCTATGTGGGAACCCCAGTGAGGAAGGTAGGTAGGCCCTGAGGCTGGGTCCTGCATGCCAGTGGGAAGTTCCCTCAGGAACTGAGCAAGTGTGAGGTCACCCCCCAGAGGGCCCAGGGACGAGGGTGCCAGGCTTCTCGAATCTTTCCTCCTTTGTTTGTCTTCCATAGGGTGGTCTAAAGGTACCCACTAACTTCATGTTGCTGGAGAAGAAATAAGTAGGAAGAAAGGAACATGCCTTTTTTCTTCCAAAAAAATAACAAAAGCGAGATGACTCCCAGCAGTAGCAAAACAGCCAGAAATATAGCCATGATCCATATGACAACCATGGGTTTTTCTACAAGTCCTGAAAAGAGAAAAAAGATTGCACTTGAGACATGAGTGAGAATTTTTCTCAGAGCCTCTGCTGAACCCCTTCTGCCTTCAGGAGTGAGTGGCCTGTCTCTCCCTAGGCAAGCTTTTGGAGAGTGGGCCTCTGGCAACAGATGGGAAGGTGAGGGATGGGGCACAGCCTGGGGGGCCCCCCTGAAAGGAAGAGATTCTGTCTCTCTCATGACTTTGCTTTTGTGCACTGAGTAGGTAAGTGTCCTTTCCCTATTGTCTCCCGCTGGGTGTACACACCCCACAGCAGCTCAGAGCTCCCAGACTAAGGCAGACCGTCACCTTTGCAGAGACTCTGGAGAGAGACTGAGGAGGAGATGTTGCTGATGGGATTCTCAGCCACGCAGGTGTAGCTGTCCTGCTCATTGGAATTCCAGGGGTTCCAGGACACAGTGAGGTTTACTCTTTTCAGAAATGTGTTTCCTGACTCCTGCCACCCGAAGGAGACACTGTCATCTGGATTCTCCACAGAGCAGGTCAGGTAGACCTCACAGCTTCCGTTTGTTGACAGCTCAGTGTGGCTGGTAATATATAAGTTACTCAGTCGCCCTGTGTGTAAAGAAAAAGTCTGGAATAAGGGCAAAAGGCTTGACTCAGAAGAATGTTGTTCCTCTCAATGTTTCTGTTTTCCTGCTACATGTTATGATCTGCAAACTGCATAAATAACACAGCTCGTCCACCTAGCTGGTTGGAGAGAGGGCTGGGTGACCAAATGATGAAGAACATTAGCATGATACAGAACAGTCAGGAGTGGGGAGAAGGGAGAGAAAGATGGGTTATGATCAACTACTCAGGTTATTTGGGGTGGCCACTTTCACTTTTCTGGCTCCAGTTAACCCCTGGGGTCCTTTTTAGCCTAAGCACTGCTCAGTATGTAAAGACACTTGGAGACTAACCTGACTGTCCCCCACCCCACCTTAGGGTGAAAGTAGAAGACCAGGTATGAGGACCCAGTGTCTTCCATCATGGGATTCCCTGGCTGGGGTTGAAGAGGTAAGTTAACTTCCTTGAAGAACCATATTTCCACAAGTTGGTGGGAATCTTGGTCCTTGTTACCAAGGATTCTGGTCCCAATTACGTCAAAGACACTGATGGGGAAGACAGAAAGGGTACTTATGAGAACCAGAGAAATGTGAAGAAAATGAGAGTAAGCAAGCAATTCTGGGGATCAAAGAAATACAATGTGTTTGAGAAAACATGCCTTGCTGGAAATTCAGAGAGCAAAGACCAGAAAATATTGCCTAGTATGATATCAGTAGCTGTGTTTCTAAGGGGATATGGGCTCAGTACAGAAAAGGCCTACCCTTGGCCTTGATGGTTAAATATGACCCCAGGAAAGAGAGATTGACTCCAATGTCTGATCATAAGAGACAGTAATGCTTTAAGCTAAGTTAACCACGTAGGAGTCAAGAAATATATCTTGCCCAAATAAAGTTTTCATGTAATGTCAAAAGTGTTGAATTTGGGGTTAGGAAGACCTAGGTTACAACCACGCGTTTTGTTATTTACTTTTGATAGCACCATGAACGTGATGTCTTCATCCATGTATCCTCACCTGTAAAACCTGGGCAACAAGGCCTCCTTCTCAGGTCATTATGAGACTTAGTGAGACAGTCACACACCAATGGCAAATATTTGGCATGAATGTCATATGTCCCTCATCTATGTACACAAGTGAGCTCAAATGTCTATCTCATTACCTTTCTCAGTCTGATGAGTATATAACTGCCTGCTTGACATTTCCACTGGAATACTATGTATCTCAAATTCTATTTGTTGAGTAGAACCCCTCTTCTTCCCCACTTTAACTGATAACTACTGTATTGTTCCAATTACTCTATTGGTCCAGTCAAAGTCCTGGACTCAGCCAGGACCATCTTTTCAGTTCACATTCCCACATCAGGAAATCTGGTGGTTAATCTCCAAAATATATTCAGAATGCAACCACTTTTCACTCACTCTGTTGCTGCCACTCCAGTCAACTCAACCATATCTCTTACATGGGTTATTGAAATGGCAGCCTAGTTGGCCATTGGCTTCCACCCTTGCCCTTTAAGTCTTTCAGTCAAATCATATTACTTATCTGCAAAATTCTCTGATGGCTGTCACACCCTCTGGAGTGGAAGTCAAAGTCTCTGTGATGCTCTGAGCACCTCATATGATGTGGCCCATATTTCACAACTCACCTCATTTCCTTTTACTCTCTTCCCTGTACTCTATTCGTTCACGTTTGTTCTTTTCAATGTTCCTTGAGTATGTGAAGCACAGAAAGTGTCTTCATCCAGACATCTGTATGACTCACACCCTCACCTCCAATAGGTCTTGGTTCTAGTGTCAGTTTCTCAAAGAGAAATGGGGTGACCACTTCATGTAAAATTGATCCCTATTTTCTGGAACTCCTGATGTTCCCTATGTCCTATGCTGTTCAAATGTCCCTTTTCTTTATAGTACACATGGAGTCCTTATATGCTGTGTTATTTGCTTATAATTATGTGAATTATTTGTTACTTCCCCCATTCCCATTCAGAATGTTAGTCCCATGAGGCAGGGACCATTGTCTGTTTGCTCTTTGATGAATTACCAGTGCCTAGAACAGCATCTGTCTAATTCACCCATGCTCAACAAATATTGTTGATGCAATGAGTAAATGTAATATGGCTTTAACTAAATCTTTCTTAACTGAACTCTAGACAGTTACTCCAGCTAATTGATATTATCAGATAAGATCAAATCTTTACCATCCTTACTCTGGCACAAAACAGTCATTGGCCAATGATCTTATAAACCTATGCAATTCCTTGCACTTTTGTAAAGCATGTTGGTATAGTTTATGTATCTTTTTGTGTATGTGTGCCTTGAAGGAGAGATACTCCAGAGACCCTGAAAAGGGGTTAGCATGGAGCCTCAGGAGTGTGGCAGAAAAATATGATCTCAGAAAGTACGCTGGGGCCTGGTATGGGATCTGTCCTCAGGCTTTCCATAGGTGTGTGTGTGTATGTCTAGGGCTCCAGGAGTACCTTTGTGATTACTGGTTACTGGTTGCCCAGAATGATTCTTCTTTGAGAGAGTTGAATGATAATTCACCCCTGACAACCCCAGGAGAAAAACAAAAAGAAAAGATATGTCCACGTCCTAATTCCTATAATCTTACTTGGGTAAACCATCTTTGCATATATAGTTGAGTTAGATAAGATGAGCCGGAGTTATTGGGTGGGCCCTAAATCTAATGATGTGTCCTTATCAGAGAAAAGCAAAGAGATATTTGAAACAGAAAGGGGGAAAATAGAGAAGAAAAGGAAGCAGAGATTGGAATAATGCAGCCGAGCAGCACCAAAGAATGCTGTCACCGTGCAGAGGTGGAATAGGCAGGAACAAATAGTCCTTCAGAGGGATGAAGCCCAGCCCATGCCTGGATTTCAGGCTTCAGACCCCCAGATCCAGAACAGGATAATATTTCTGTTGTTTTTACTCATCAAATTGTGGTCCTTTGTTTCAGTAGCCCTGGGAAACACATACATAGATATGGTGATTTTGCTCCTTCAGTTGACTTTCCCTTTCAGAATTTTTCCAGAATTCTCTTTTCTGTCACTTTCACCTGTGCTATGTCCTAGTTTTTCACAGATATGACTGATGGGCTAGTGTGCTAAAGCTGTGAAATGTATAGCAAATACTAAGATTAACATGTAAACTGTTTGTTGTGACTTGGATACCATGTCTAAACCCGAAGGACTTCAGTGACATTTAAACACCACACACTGGCCAGTAGATCAGAATGACAGAAGCCCAGTAGCCTTTGAAGTTGCCTTTTCTGACTGTTAACTCTGTATCCTGCACACTCCCCAATAAGTGAATACTTTAAGGCCATCCAAGGCATTTCTGTAGGTCACTGTAATGAGAAGGATTTTATTTCTAATTTAATGCATAAGCTGCCTCATTATAGTTTCTGCAACTTGATTCTGTGTTGAGGTTATTTACATTCAACACAAGCCATTTGGGGGAAATATAGTAGAAATAAAATAATCTTAAGATGTTTCTCTTTCCCAGTGTGCCCTGGGGGAGCACTACCTACCTACCAGCCCACCACTCTAGACACTGACTGTTCCACTGTGGGTCAGACCAGCCCTGGGTACAGGGAGGTATCATGGCCATTAGTCATGTGGGACTCTTCTCATGAGTCTTGTCTCTGTGACGGAAGCTCAGGGGGTGATGGAGGACCACCTGACAGGCCTTTCACGAGGGTCATATGACAGGTATATGTAAGGCACATGGTAACAGAAAACACATTTCACTGTTTCCACAAATTGTGACAGAAAGTGAGTAGCTTCCAGGCTGAAAGATGTAAGACTCAAGTTCTGCTCTAGCTGTCACTAACTGACCATGCAACACCATGAGTTGCTTTCCTGTGGACCTCAGTCTGACTCCCAGTGCCACGTTCTTTCCTATTAGGCGATGATGCACACTTGCAGTCACATAGGATGAAATGTACACTATTTCTTAGTCCATACAAACCCCAAGCTTTGACTCACTGAAGATCCTCAGTGTGTAACAGTAAAACTGTGTTTTGTCTGTGGCTATTTGGGCCATGTAGAGTCCTGAGTCAGTCATCTTTAATTCATTGAGCTGTAGAGAGTAGGACTCAGTGACGTTGATTCGATTTTTCCGCTCTGGATCAGTGACAGAGGGTGGTGCTTCTTTTGGCATGAAAATCATAGATGTTCCATTGTGGAGCCAGGTGATGGTGTTGACATTCAGTTTTGCAGAAAAGTTCAAGGGAAAAGTTACGGACTCCCCCAGAAACCCATTCACCTTCAATGCGTCTGACCTGCACGACATAACCATGCACCCTGTAAACAGAGAAGGGAATGGCTGTAATTGTGCCGCCTTTCTCCCCACGCCCATATCCTTTGCCCCTAACTCTGCTAGTCTATTAGAGCACTCTGACACTGAAGTCCAGACATTGATGAAGAGACAAAGAGTAGGCAGTGTTGAAATGGGCATTTTCAGACTCCACCCACAATGAAATGTGGGACTCTTTTGGTTAAATGGGAGTAGACTCAGTTGACCTTGGCCTGGTCCACCTTCCACATGATCTGGCCCCAGCTGGAGTTCTCTGAGCATGAGGTGGAAGGGGAAAAGGACATTGAATCCCAAACCCATAAGTCTTTGCTGATGAAGTATAATTAAAGCTCAGCACTTAGTGATTCCCTACTGTGTGTCCAATATCAAAGGTGTATGAGATTTCAAGGGCTAATAATAAGACCTGGCACCAAGGATCTCAAAATGTTTGTGTGAACCAATGAATAACTGATGATAATCTGACCTCAACATTCTTGAGATCTCAATCTCAGAAGAGCATTTGAGTGGGTAGAAGCTGTCTCTTGGGACCCTGACACTCAGCTCCCAGGAGTGCTCACACTCCTCTCTCTTCTGTAGCGTCCTATGAGTGCCAAGCACATGGACATTTCATCATCAATTCCCTCCTTATCTCATCATTCCCACATCACTTATTTCCCACAGCTATTTGTCATCTGGACCCTTCTTCCCTTTTGGAAACTCATGAGTAAATATCACAAGTAAAGTCTTGAGCAAAAATATATCCAGACATAACCAGAATGTAGTGGTAGGATTCCATTTAATTAAGTCTAAAAAAGGAGGAAAACAAATCTATGCTTTCAAAAATTAGCAAAGAGGTTACCTGGAAGGGGGAGAGGAGGTAGTAAGGAAAAGGGAATGTAAGGGAGAAATTCTAGGCTGTGATGGTGTACCATTTCTTGACTTGTGTCCAGGTATGCAGGCTATTCATTTTATGATTAATTCACTGAGCTGGCACTCAGCATGTATATATAGTTGTCTCTGTAGGTTACATTTTAGTCATAAAATTATTATGACAATAAAAACCCCCTCACAAAGATCTAATTATTTTTTTCTTTTTGACTTAATTTCCTAGAAATCCTGTTATTCACTTTGCTCAAACTTACTGGTATGGCTGTTCCCAGAATAGGTCAAGGTGCCTGTACTTACATTTCTCTGCCTAAGAAATGCAACCCCCAGGCTCATCTTTCATTTCTATGAGATCCTTCAGAGGAGTGTGTTTCATCTATGAGATTACCATTTCCTTATGACCAGACCTCACCTTGTACACTCAGCTGCTTTTTCTCCTTTTTCATATTATTTGCATACCTTGCAATTTTATTTTTAAGTTCTCTCTCCCTCCCACTAGAAAGTAAGCTCCATGAAAGCAAATATTTCTGATTGTCTTGTTTTTTGTTGTGTACAATTGGGAACATTGCTTCATGTGTGTAAGTATCCAGAAACTACTTGTTGAGTGAATGGACTCATCTCCATACCTCATCTTGAGGGTTCTCTGTCCAGAATTAAAGACCAATTCTTTTTGTAAATAGTATAAGATACTCTGTGGCTTGAGGAGCGCCCCCACCCCAACTAGGAAATTTCTTCCTCACCTAGTGCATTCCTAAAATTTATGGGTAGCAATTACTTAGTTAGCAGGTTGCTTACTGTTTATTTGCTCAGTTCTATGGCCAATTCAGTGAGTAAAGGTTTAGAAATGACGTTCAAGACCATATTTACTGGGTCCCTTTAATCTACCAGTTTCTGGCTGGAGACTAGAAATACACTGCTGGGTAAGCTGTTATCAGTCCTCTGGGCTCAGCAGGCAGTGGAGGGCCCCGAGGAAAGTCGTGGTGTGTTGTGTTAGGTGTTGGCTCAGGGCATGCCTTGCCCCCAGCCGGCCTCCCGCCATGAACGGCACCCTGTATGTTCAACATCAGATACTTCTTTCTCTTTGTCAAATTTATGAGATTGGTTTCCTCTCTTTCCCATCATCTTGAGGGTAAGGATTGTGCTTACTAAGCCTATATTCCTAGCATTTGGCTCAATTTCTAGTTCAATATATGTTGAGTAAAAAGCTCACATTCAATAAATAAATAAATAAAGCCTATGCTTTATGGGGGAGCACAGTGAAAAAGAATGGCCCAGAAGAGTTGAAGTTTGTTGGGGGACACATCCCAGAGGAGATAATATTGTTTGGAATAAATACAAGAGATTTTCTATCTTTCAGTGGCTTGTGATTCTCTTTTTTTTTCTTTTTGAGATTTATTTATTTATGCATACAAGAAGTAGGGTACAGGCCAGAGGTGTGGTGGGTGAGAGGATTCACCAGAGACAAAGTGGGGAGCACAACAGGCAGATCCACTGAAATACACGGCTGAGGGGAACAGCAGGTGGGTTAGAAGAGGTCTGCTGCGCCATGTGGGTCAGCTCCCTGATTGGCCCGAGAATGCCACACCCTCTTCTTTTGCAATGTTATTTCCTGGGCGTGAAACACCCTTTCCCACCTTTTCTGCCTGGTGAGCTCCTACTTATCCTTTGAAGATGAGCTCTTTGTTTCTTTGGTAGTATTTGTGTGTGTTTGCTGCTTTGGTACAGAGGGATGCATTTCTTATGCAGAGAAACATAAGTACAGGCACCTTGGCCTATTCTGGGAACAACCACACCAGTGATCTGAGCAAAGTGAATAACAGGATTTCTAGGAAATTATGTCAAAAAGAGAAAAGTAATTCATTTCAGCTTTTCCATTTCAGCTCATCCTCTGCAAGTCTAAGAAAAAAGGGGCCTGTGTCATGATGTTTAGGCAGTGGGAAGTTACTGAAAACATTCAGGAGTCCATGGGGAAAGTTTGGACACAGGCATGTGTCCAAGTGGATGAGGTGTGTGGCCCAGGAGGACCTCCGCCCACCCTGCATAGAGTCTGCACCCATGCTTTGGGAATATCCTGGGCTAGCATCCTTTCCATGGCATATACCTTCATAAGGCACTGGGGCAACTGAGCTCCTCTGTATCCTTTCTGGTGAGGACAGTGAGTCAACAAACATTTGGGACAATGTTTATTGATTTATTTTTAAAGATTTATTTAAAAATAAATGGCCAAAGATGCAGGGGCAGCAAGTGGGTTCACCAGAGTCAGAGTGGGGAACAGAACAGGAAGATCAAGTAAATACACTTGCTGAGGGGAGCAGCGGGCAGATCAGGAGAGGTCTGTCACGCCATGTGGGTCACCTCCGGGGCAGGCGGGGATCGAACTCATGCTGAAGTGGCTTTAGCTTCTTAATGCTGTGCTTTAACCCACTGCCCCACCAGGGAGGGCCTGGGACAATGTTTATTTACTTGTTTTGTCCATTATTCCATCCAGGAATAATGTCATCGTCAACTTTTTGTGCCCCAGAACCTGGCTCAAGGAACTGAATGTAGGCTAAGTAGTTTGAGGAGCAAGAAAAGGAAGCAAAATAATATTTGAAAAATATGGCCAAAACTCCCTAAATTTTATAGAAGTCATGAATCTATACATTCACAAGTTTCAAGAAAGAAAATTCCAAAGACATGCATACCAAGGCACATTAAAGTCAAACTGATCAAAGACATAGAGAGAATCTCAGATTCAACTAGTCTGTCCAACTAATTGTGAATGAAATTAACAGCTGTTTCTCAGCAGAAACCATGAAAACCATAAGGTGGTGGAGTTACATATTTAAAGTAATGAAAGTAACCCCTTCTTGCAAATTAGAATCTTTATCTGACAAAACTGTCCTTCAAAAGTGGAGGATAAATGAAGACATTCCTAGAGAAATAAAAGCAGCTGTAATTCACTGTTAGTAGAGCTGCACTAAAAGAAGAGCCAAAAACAATCCTTCAGACTAACAAAGAAGCAGATGACGGTAAGGCAAATCCCTACCAAGAAATAAAGAACACTGATCACTCTAGAGAGAAATAAAAAGCCATATTTTTGTATTTTTACTTTCTAACTCCTCTTTCATAAATTATTTAAAGGGTAAATGAATAAAGCCAGAGTTATAAACTTCTGTGAATAGGCACACATGTATAAAGATGCCGTTTTTGACAACAGTGTAAAAGGAATGGAACTATACATTAGCACAATGTTGGTATGCTATTGAAATTAAAACAATCTTTTAAAAAAGTATACATTTTACATCATTGTTCATTTTGAAACAATGCTTGCTTTCTTTTCTTAGGTGTAGTTAGTCCCTATAGAATCCACCACCAGTTTGCTTGTGTACCATCACCCCGGTTCCTTGTGCTCTCCCCTCCCTCGTTCCAGTCCTTTTCCCTCCCCATCCCCCGCAGAGTGAAAATTAACACAATCTTAATCCAAAATTGATTGCTATAAATTGAAGAGGTTAATTGTAATTGCCAGTGTACCAACTAAGAACATGCAAAGAAACATACAGAAAAGGAAATGAAGAAAGGACCAAAACTAAAAAATATCAATTACCTACAAAAGAAAGGCAGAACAAAAGCAATGCTCAGAAGGAAACTTATAGCTGTAAATGCTTACATTAAAATAGAAGAAAAACCTCATCACAATGTAATTAATACTGTAAGAAACTAGCAAAAGAAGAGCATCATAATCCAAAACCCAGAAGGAAGGAAATATTAAGGTTAAACCAGAAATAACCAAACAATATGGAAAGTCAACCAAAAGTTGGTTCTTTGAAAAAAAAAAATCAACAAAATAGACATAGATTTAGCTAGATTAATTAAAGGGGGGGAAGATTCAAATTACTAAAATTAGAAATTAATGTAGGATCATTATTACTGACCTCAAAGAAAAAAAAGTGGATTGTGAGGCCACTTTGAGCAATTGTATGTAATTAAGCTTGTATAAATGGTTCTTTCTGCAATGCAGTGTCTGACTTAAGCCTTGACTACTGAGGCAGGCACTACTAGGAAGTGGCTCAAATAAACATGTTGTGTTAGAGAGTTAGAAAAAGAGAAGGGGACAGGTCTGTCCCACCCATTCCATC